CTGGCCTGGCTGAGGCAAACAAAGGCTGAAGTCCAAGGTTGTTCCCTGACCTCCAAGCTTATGCTATGTGACACACACACACACACACACACACACACACACAGAGAGAGAGAGAGAGAGAGAGAGAGAGAGAGAGAGAGAGAGAGAGAGAGAGAGAGAGAGAATCCTCCAGAGTATTGAGATTGAAGATTTATATCTTTCTGGGCCTTAGCAACAAGTCCTTTGGTGGTGGTGGTGGGGCTTTCAGAACAGCCGCTCTTTGAAGTTCTTCACTTTATTCTTATTCTTCTGTTCCTCATTTTCTTTGCTTTCATGACTTTGAAACGATCAAAATTCTCCATCCTAACTTTCAATCTTCTTGGTTCATCTCGCGGCTGCCCACTTTGCAACGGTACCCATGTTCTCGCAGGCTCTTTATACATCTTCCTAGCAGGCGTTTGTATTGGATTTAAGGGTCAGGTCAGTGAGCTGCATGCATTTGAAAAGTGGGGTCTGTCTCCTTATATGGGGGAAAGATCCATCCACTAAAACCCTGTTCTAACCTTTCTGCCATGAGGCTCAAAGGGGATATAGGCTGGCTGTTTTGGGACCCCATCCGCCAATAGCTTTGGGGTACCGGCCTTAGGTTGTAGCCTTGTGTGCTACTTGTGGAGTGATAGCAGGACGGGAAGCGAGCTCCATGATACAACTGAATGCCACGTCAGCAGCCTTTGTCAAGAAATGAGAAGCTATATTTTGTAGCTATACCCCCCCCCCCCCAAGGAGTATCATTATATCATCCAGATGTCTTAAATTCTTGAGCTGAGGGATCCTCCTCTGTCAGCCCCCTCAGTACCTGGGACTACAGGTAGGTGACTCTGTTCTTGGCTCACATTTTGTGACTTTGAAATAGTAGAGTTGGTGACAGAAATGTAGAGAGAAGGCATAGAAACACACACTTGAGAGGCATTTGTTACTTTATTCTTGGATTTCGAATATTGTGATCTGGGTTTCCCTTCCCAGAGCACAGTCACAGACTACAGTTCCAACTGTGTAAGAATTCCTTGTCATGCTTTGAAAGAGCACTCGTTAGGCACCAGTGACTCTTCGGGGCAAAGGAAACTGTGAGAGCGGAGTCTATGGCCTTCTCTCTAGAGGTCAATTAGGGTTTTAAAAGCAACAGAATGCTTTAGGACATGCCTTCCTCTAATGTACTCCCCGACAGAGTCTATTTGGGATGTGTAAAGGGAGTTTTAAAAAGCATTTGCATTATTACAATTTGTCAGCAAATGGATTACATAAAGTCCTTCATCCAATCAAGTGTATGGGGTATTGAGATGCCCTAGTCCCTGCTGATCAAAATAATAGTATCCATCAATTGTAATTTATGGACTCATCAAGACATCACGGGTTTCCCCCAGAGGAAAGGGTTAGTGTCTTCCCATTCAGACTTTAGCACTGTGGTTCAAGCTGAAGTACAAGTCGAAGTCTGACTTCCTGTGGGTGGTACTTAACACCAACACACTGTCCTGTGTCTCCTAAGAATGACTTTCTGCTGGTTGTTGTAGTGCGCGTGTGTGTAATCCCAGCACTAGGGTAGGGCTGAGGCAGGCAGGTTTGTGAGCTTGAGGGTAGCCTGGGCTACAAAGCAAGACCTTGTCTAATACTCAGTCACACTACGGCTGGGTATGTTGCTACCCATAGTTCCATCATTTGGGAGGCTGAGGCAGGAGGATTGCCTTGAGTTAGAAGCTAGTTTGGCTATATAGTAAGTTCTAACTGAGTCCAGACTATAGCATAAGATTGTGATTCCAAAATAAACAACAAACAGAAACAAAACAACCCCCAAAATCCCAAGAGTTGCCAGGGCCTAGTAACTCCTGTCTCAAATCTCTGAATTGGGAGGTGGAGGCAAAAGGACCAGCAGTTTCAAGCTAGCCTTGGCTACATGAGATCTTGTTTCAGAAAGCCAAAAGCAGAGCGTTTGAGACGGCTCAGTAGGTAATGGTGTTTGATGACTTGACTTGAGTTCCTGGAATCTACACAGTGCAAGGCGAGAACCGACTCTTCAAGTCATCCTCTCACCGCCACAGAGTGCCATGGTGTGCACGTGCCCTTCCTTTTCCCACACAGATAAGTTCAATAAAAGTTAAATTAATAAAAAATAAACCCAGAGAAACACAGAGTTACAATACTATCATCATATCAGAGGAAATTAACATCTATTTCATATTTACGGTGTGATATGCGGTCGGTCGATCTTAGTCTTGGTTTGGAAATCCAGATGAAGATGCCAGCTGATCTGGTGTCTGGAGAGGGCTCACTGTTGGTTCCTGAATGGCAACATCTTGTGTTTTCACGTGGTACAAGCAAAAAGGGACACTTTTGTGGCTCTTTTTTCCCCTTTTGAATTATGGTGATTTTTTTTTTTTTTTTTTTTTTTTTGGCTTTTTCGAGACAGGGTTTCTCTGTGGCTTTGGAGCCTGTCCTGGAACTAGCTCTGTAGACCAGGCTGGTCTCGAACTCACAGAGATCTGCCTGCCTCTGCCTCCTGAGTGCTGGGATTAAAGGCATGTGCCACCATCGCCCTCCCACTGATATTTTTAAATGACATCTGTCTCTTTATGTGTGTGCACATGTCACAGTTTGCATGTGGCAGTCAGAGGACACCTAATGGGAATATATTCTGTCTTTTAACCATTTGAGATCCACAGAACAAACTCAAGTCATCAGGCTTGTCTGTAACTGTCATCTCACTGGCCCAAGATTATTTTCAATGAGCCACACCTACTCATTGCTACCAATGCCACAACTTTAGGAAAGGAACTGGTAAACGCAGGCAACAACAGGTTTGACTAATTTCTTCTTCTTCTTGGAACAGGACAGGTGTGTTTGGAGGGCATCAGCTGATGGTTTGTTTCAGAACTCGGAAGGCGCAGCCTCATTAGAGTATGCCGGTAGGCGAGCCCTCTAATCCGCGTTCATTTTCCAGAACAAGGAGTGGAGTGTCTTGGAGTCATCAACCAGTCTTTTGTGTTGCCATCAAGTGTAGGTTGTGCTTCCCCCCCCCCCCCAATTTGCTCCATTATTTCTCTTCTGGTTTATAGCTTGGGAGAAAAGCGGCAAGAGGAAGCAAGGCTTAACTGACAGGTTTTGAAACGCGCAAGCTAAACATCTAGACAGGTTAGCAGTTGTGTTTAAAAAGCCTTAAGGAGGATTGTGCTTGAATTGATTTTGGCAATGTTTATAATTGAATGGCTCTGAAATACAAAGAAAAGGTCCTCTGTTATTAGCAAGATAGTTCTCCTTGCTCCTCTAGCACAGAAGTACGGAGAAATAAGAAATGTAAGGATTAGTATTTTCCATTAAAAGTCATTTTGGAATTTTAGAAGAAATTCTTTCTTTCTCATTAGGTTCCTCCTCCTCCTCCCTCCTCCTCCTTCTTCGAAAACTGGGTCTCATGCAGTTGTGGCTGATTTTGAACTCTCTATAGTGAATCTGATCCCTTTGCCCCTGTGGCTCTTGTGCATAAGAATGTGCCATTACACCTGGTTTCCTTACTCCCCCCCCCCCCCATGCAGACAGTTTTCTCTGAGTAGCCCTGGATGTCCTAGAACTCACTCTATAGACTCCACTGGCCTTGAACTCAGAGATCTGCTTGCTTCTGCCTCCTGAGTGCTGGGATCAAAGACCTATCTTCCTGATTTTCAAGCAGAAAAGCAGTGATCTTGCCTATCAGGAGCAAAGAAAAAAAAAAAAAAGAAAAAAGAAGAGAAGGAAAAAAAAAAAAAAACAACCCATAAAACAAGAAGACGGGCTCCTTGAGCCCGAAGTGGGTTTGCAGACAGTGCCAGTTTGAGGGTCGTGTTTTTTTCTCCAGGGAAACTTGGAATGCGGGTTAGTACTTTGGAAGAGGTAATTAAACCCAACTGTAGCATTGAGTCTCTCAAGAACTCTCATCGCCTCAAGATCATCTGTAGAGAGCATGGAGTCTTTTGTCTCCACGTGTAACAGAAGCATCTGTGTAGATCTGCTGAAACTTCCGGAAGCTCTCTACACTTCAGCATCACACTCCTCTGCCCAGTTCCAACTGACCTATCTATTTGCGACATATTCTGGGGACTCTATACATGCCTAGATTCTATTAGCTGCTAGTGCCTAGATCTGTCATTTGACCAACTGTTGTACGCTGGCTACCCGCCTCCCCCCCCCCCTTTTTTGTTTGTTTGTTTCCTTGCGCGCAGTCCTGGCTGCAATGGAATTTGCTCCGTAGCTCAGGCTGGTCTTGAACTCATAGATCTGCCTGCCTCTGCTTCCCAAAATGCTGGTATAGACCCATCTGGCCTCAAACCCGTAATTCTGCTCAGTCTTCCAAGTTCCATCTCACCTGGCTAACTGTTATTAAGACACGGTTTCGCGAAGGCAGAGAATTGCCTCACAGAGTGCCCTTTGCGACTGGGCACATCCAACTTTGGATCCCACCCTATCTAACCCTTGCGGGCTGGATCACCTGGCCACATTGTGTAGCAACTGTACCAGTGATTTCGAATGAATGGCATGTTGCACACTTGAGCCTGGAGTTGGAGGACAGTCTGGTCAACAGAGCAAGATTTTGTTGCTTAAAAATGAAACAAAGAATAAACAAAACCAAAACAATTAAGAAAAAAAAAACCCGAAGACAATCTGCATATGGATGGATTCATGCCTGAAATCGTAACACTCTGAAATTCTAGTAGGTAGGAGGATCGCTGACAGATTGAAGCTAGTCAGGGCTACATAGCAACACCTTGTCTCAAAAACAAACAAGAGCTGGTAAGCTGGTTCAGTGGAGAAAAGCCCTTGCTGCCAAGCCTGCCGGCCTGAGTTTGACTCTACAGACTCACACGGTGGGAGGAGAGAACCGACTCTGGCATACTGTCCTCTGACCTCATAAACACACAATAAGAACAAAAATAAAACAACGCACATGTTCACCCAAACAATAAAAGCAATAGAAGATACTTTCTTTTTTCCCAAAATAGGACAAGATGACAAGACGCGGGGTGAAAGCATGCCCATGAGGAAGGATGGCATATCCATGAAGTCTGGGTGAGCAAGGCATAGATAGAGTATGGGCCTCGATAAGACCTCAGATTATTATGTTATTGTTGTTATATCACAAGATACTTCCTCTCTGGATCCTGACTCCCATTTGGGCTGTAGTTTCACCCTGATGGAACAGTCCTGCCTTCTCTGTGTGTTTCTTATGGGTTTCTTAGAAAAAGCTCATGACACTCTCCTGAGTTTTTGTTCCCATTTTACCTGTCCCAAATTGTAGTCTAAGCAAGCAATAGTATAGTACAGGTATGTAACTCATGTCTGTCATCCCAGCATTTTGGAGGCTGCTGTGGGAGGATTGACCCTAGTTTGAGGTCAGCCTGGGCAATATAGTGAATTCTACATAGTTTGTGCTCAATGTGAGACCCTGTCTCAAAAACCAAACAACATCAACAAGAAAGGCACCAAGAAAGCCCACTAAGTGTTACCGCATTTCCCGGTGAAGTTCTGTCTAGCATCCATTCCAACTTGACATGTCCAGCGCAGATCTACTAGAAGCATCCTCGTCTTGTAACCCGCACAGCAATCCACGCAGCTATGGGGCATCCATTTTACAGTGCAGGATAAGGAGACTTGCCAGGGGGTCTTGTGGACAGGGAGGCGGGGGAAAGCAAACAGGTAGAATTGAAGGGATAGAGCCAAGATTTCAACTGGAGACCCAGAGCTGGGCCAGTTCCTAACACCGGGGGTCCACTCTGAAACACTGAAGGCAGGGTTTGGAGTTAACGGTCATTCATTCCCTGCCCACTCTGGTCCTTTGTGTCCTCTGTGGCGGTCATTTGTTTTCAGCTCCCATTCTCATCCTTCCCTCTGAGTCACATACAGGAAGCTGATTTGCAAACTCTCCTAGTCTCGCCTTGCCAAATGGCTGCCGGGTGGGAACTGCCATGACAGGCCACGTGCCTACATGTGCCCACACAAGGCAGGGAGGGGAGAGAAATACTCTGACTTCCGTCTTGCTCTCAAATGCACCCCAAACCTCTTCCCAGTGCTTTCCATCGCTGAGCATAGCTGGATGCCAGATGGTAGGGAGGCCCCGGGGAGGACACCGGCGCAGGTTGGCTCCTTTGTGATAGAGAACAGAGCTAGCTGGCCTCCTTCTCCTCTCCAGGTGCAGTTTCTTCCGAACCAGGAGGATCTTGCCTGTGAGAGGAGGCGTTTTATGGGGAGGTTAGTGGGGGAACAGAAGGCCACTCCCTTGACCTCCTCGTTATTCATGTACCCAAGTGCTGGGATTACAGCTCTTTGCCACCAAGCCCAGCTTCCAAACGCAATTTAAAGTGGAGGTGGAGGGGTGGTACATGTTTTTAACTTGAATGGTTTTGTTTTCAATATGCCGCTTACTCTGTGAATAAAGGCCACTTATTGTATTCTCTTAAGACTCCCACCAGAGTGGCCGTGAGAACACTGTGCACGAATTTGTGATGGAATCGGATTCATCAATAGCTTGCCTAATAAATATAGATTAAAAGGATATCCAATATCTGCCTTAAACCCACAAAGGAATATAAATTTGAAACAGGAGATCAAGACTTTAATGAAGGCAGCAGGAGACGGCTTTAACGACAATTCCCGGATGCATCTTGATGATGAAAATCAGCCTTAACTGTGCATTTAATTTCTTTTGTGGGTTCAAAGCAGATCCCGGAAGTTTCATTCAGGGAAGGTTAATCACGACGTACTCTGTAGCCTATAAAGCTTCTCATATTGGGAAGTGTTGGTAAGAGATATTTATGTGAATAATAATGTTTTATCTTTTTAAAGTGAGGCGTGGGAAAGGAAGAAAGAAAGACGGATGGATGGATGGATGGCTCATCAGGTAAAGACGCTTTGGTACCTGGGACCCACACAGTAGAGGGCGACTCCATTCCCTCAGCTGTCCTCTGACCTCTATGCATGCCTTGGCAGGTCCCACGCACACCCACACACAGGCACATCTATACACAAGATAAATATGTTAAGTTTTTTTTTTGTTTGTTTTGTTTTTTGTTTTTGTTTTTGGAGACAGGGTTTCTCTGTGGCTTTGGAGCCTGTCCTGGAACTAGCTCTGTAGACCAGGCTGGTCTCGAACTCACAGAGATCCGCCGGCCTCTGCCTCCCGAGTGCTGGGATTAAAGGTGTGCGCCACCACCGCCCGGCTCAAATATGTTAAGTTTTCAACCTTGGACAATGGGTTGAGGTGCCTATTTAACATATCAGAGCCATCTGACCTCCAGGTTCTCTCAGCATCCCTCAGTCCCTACCTGGCATATCCCCACCCTCTACCAGGAACTCTGCAGCCCCGGGAATGGGCTACCCGTCCCCAGGAGGCTCTTTCCTATCTAATCCAGACATTTTGGTTCTGTACTCTCTCAGACCTTTGCCCTCTTGACTGCTGCACCTGGTTCCCCTCTCTCCCTTTCTCTTCCCCTCTCCCTTTGCCACGTGGCCCAGCTCAGCCTGCCCATGTCCACTCTGGACTCTCCCAGATGTCCCTGTCCCTGTCCTGGCTATGCTCTCCCTTTTAGCTACAAAAAACTTGCTCCTCCAATTTACCTAGGAGCAGTCACATTCTTTCCTTTCCTTTCCTTTCCTTTCCTTTCCTTTCCTTTCCTTTCCTTTCCTTTCCTTTCCTTTCCTTTCCTTTCCTTTCCTTTCCTTCTTCCTTCCTTCCTCCCTCCCTCGCTCCCTTCCTCTTTCTTTCTTTCTTTCTTTCTTTCTTTCTTTCTTTCTTTCTTTCTTTCTTTCTTTCTTTTCATTAAAAATAAGTATTAGCCAGGCGGTGGTGGCATGCGGCTTTAATCCTGGCACTAGGGAGGCAGAGGCAGGAGGATCTTTGTAAGTTTGAGGCCAGTCTGGTCTGCAGAGCGAGTTCCATGACTGGCTCGATAGCTACTGGGAAACCCTGTCTTGAAAAACCAAAATAAATAAATATTAAAAAAAAATTAAAGGTGCTGGAGAGATGGCTCAGCGGTTAAGAGCACTCGCTGCTCTTCCAGAGGTCCTGAGTTCAATTTCTAATACCCACATGGCAGTTCACAACTGTCTGTAACTCCAGTTCCAGGGCCTCTGACTCTCACACCAATAAACATAAAATAATAATAATAATAAAATAAATTAAAAAACCAGGCATGGTGGTGTATGCCTTTAATTCTAGCATTCAGGAGGCAGAGGCAGGTGGATTTCTCTAAGTTCGAGGCAACAAACTACACAAAAAGCAACCAATCAAACAAGCAAACAAAAAATACTTTAGAAGAGAGAAAACATTTTTTTAAAAGAGAAAGAAATTGCTAGAATACTTTGTCTATAGCTATCCTTGGAGAAACAAATGTGGGATTCATATGTATATAGTATTTGTTTGCCAAAACAATGACTTTCCTAAGGCTGCGGAGATGCTCAGTGGGTAAAGTGCTTGCCATGCAAGCGTGAGCACTTGAAACTGGATCTCTAGTGCCCTGGAAAATGCTGGGTGTGGTGGTGTGTGGTTTTAATCCTAGTACTTGGCAGGATTAAGATTCAAGGCAGTTTTATCTCTGAGTTCAAGGACAGTGAGGTCTTCAGAGGGAAAGAGAGAGTTAGTTCCAGGGCAACCAGGGCTGCATTGTGAGACTCTCTCTCTCTCTCTAAAAAAGTTGGTGCCTGGCAGTAGCACCAGTGCTGGGAGGCAGAGACAAGAGAGTCCCTGGGGTTGCAGGCCAATCAATCATTCCAGTTGCATCAGTCAACTCAGGTTCAAAAGATGAGGGAGGTAGAGCTGGAGAGGTGGCTCAAGAGTTAAGAGCAAGCCTGCTCTTACAGAGAACCTGAGTTCAGTTCCAAATCCCAAACTGGGTGGTTCACAACCGTAAATCCAGCTCCAGGGGAATCTCACACCCTCTTTTAGCGTCCTCAGGCAACTGCACTCACAAGCAAATACAGATAATTAAAAATAGACCTTAAAAAAATAACAATAAGCCTGGCATGATAGCACATGCTTCTGGTCCCAGCTGTTTTTGTTTGTTTGTTTGTTTTAAGGAAAGATGAGAGAACTAGAAGAAGGCATCTGGTGTTGACTTCTGTTCCCCTAGACACACAGGCATGCTCACCCTCCACACACTCTAATGCACATGCGTGCACACCACACACACACACACACACACACACGACTACTTCCTTTAGAAACTTTCACAAATTTGTGTTTCGTAAGAAAGATTCTATGCATAGAAAAAGGAACCATATACAAAGGAAATGAAGAATACCAAGCATGGTGGCTCAAATCTTTGATCCCAGTAAAGGTAGAAGGATTAGAGTAAAGTCAAGGCCAGCCTGAACCATAGACTGACCCCTGTTTGGGCTGGAGCTGGGGAAGGAAGGTGCCATGTCCTGCAAGGCTCCAGGGGTTGACCTGACTGGGGTGGGCGAGGGAATGACAGAAGGACAAACGTACAGACAGACACGCAGCTAGGATCAAGTGGATTGGGTTCTCTGATGGAGAAGCCACAGCACTCCCAAAAGCTCAGAATGTTTCTCATGTTCGACTGAACAGGAGGCAAGGTTATTTCATACAGCTGACAGGGAGATGAGGTTATTAGATGCAAATAAACAAGAAGGCAAGGGGTTTTCTGTTGTTGTTGCTGTTGTCTTTTAAGACAGGGTTTCTCCGTGTGGCCCTGGCCAGCCTGGAATTCACTCTGTAGACCAGGGTGGCCTCAAACGCAGAGATCCACCTGCCTCTGCCTCCTGAGTGCTAGGATCAGTGCGTCACCAGTGCCCCCCCTCCCCCAGATGGAGAATTCCCATTTAAAGAATGAAGGCTGCAGCCATTGGAGCTCTGTGCCGTGTTATGCCAAATCAGATGTTCTTTTTATTGTTTTTGAGAGCATCGGCAGAGCTTCCTTTCCCATCATATGGATTTGTAGCTATGGTAGTAATGACTGCTAATTGCTCAACCATGGATATGTTAAGATAAATGGATTTGTAACTATGGTAGTAATGAATGCTAATAGCTCAACCATGGATATGATCAAGATGCTTTGTCCCAGTCACATTACGCATCAAATTTTACCTGAAAATTGCACACTTTGCCGCAGGTGCTTGCATACTGACACTTGCACACCGTCACGGTGGGAAGCATTGCAGGCTGCTCGCAATGGTTTGCTCCGTGTGCAGTGTCTTCATTGTGGTCAGACTGAGAGGAGTTTCATTACGTGGCTAGGCATTTCTTCTTTCCTTGGGGAATAGACAAGGTGAATGCAATACCTTCCACTTTAAAGCGACCACAAAACTTCATAATCCTAACCTCAAAATCGACTCCTAAATTGACACAGAGAACCGGAAGCCATGAGCCGCCTGCAGCTGCCTGTTTGATCCTGGTGACGTGCCAAAAAGGGAGAGAGGGTTCAGAGGAGCACCAAGGGGCCACTCCACACTTTAATCTTTCTCTTCTTACCTTCCTCTCAACTCTGCCTTTCCACCCTTTGGTAAATAACCATTTTAGTTACCCCAGGCACCACACATTCTAGAACACAGAGGAAAGTGTCTCTCCTCATTGATGCTGACAAGCCCTTTGGTCAGAAAATGTCCCTCCACAGATGTGAAGATGTTACAATCAAACACCAGAAAAAGCGGTTTTATTTCTACCTCTCTAAATTCTACTGGATACGGTCTATTCTATTCTACCCCCCAACCCCCATATTCACAAACCCTTGAGGATTCAGGCTACAGGAAAAGTCGTTACAGCTTTGAGATAAGTTGCTGAGTGTGTTCTAACAAAAGCCACCTCTCCTCCCAAAAGGAAATAGAAGGATAACGTAAACGACACTTCGGAAGCAATAGCAACGATAAAAGCAGATGCTCTTGATGTAGCTCAGCTGGGAAAGTGGTTTTCTACCATTCCTGCAGCCCTGGGTTCAGTCCCCAGCACCACATAAAACTAGACGTGGTGGCTTATCCTGTAACTCTAACTGCACTCAGGAGGTAGAGGAGGCCCAGAAGTTCAAGGTCATCTTCAGCTACATAATAAACTTTTGAGGCCTGCCTGAAATATGTGAGTCCCCGAGGAGGTGACCCAGCGGGTAGCACATTTCTGGTTCCCACGTGGTAGAAAGGGAGAGACCTGGCTGGGAAGTGGAGGTGCACATCTTATAACCCCAGCACTCGGGAGGCAGAGACAAGGGGATCTCTGTGAGTTTGAGGTCAGCCTGGTCTACAGATAGTTCCAGGTCAGCCGGGGCTACACAGAGAAACTCTGCCTCAAAACAAAACAAAAAACACAACCAAAACAAAACAGAAAGGAGAGAGCTGCCTCCTGAAAGCTGGACTCTGACCTCTCTTTAAAACAAAGCAATTAAGTCTGTCCTCGCCTTCCACCTTGCTAAGGTAAAGCCGCAAGGCTGCTGGCCCGCGAGCTTTGGGGTGATTCTCCTGTCACCGCACTGGCTGTTTTATTTGGCTTCCCGGAATTGAACACAGTGGTCAAGCTCCTGGCATGTGATTTTGCACACCCAGCTCCCTCCCTGGCCCTAGTTACTTCTTGTTGGGACGCCATGCCTGACAAATGCAATTTAGGAAGGCAAGGTTCCCTTCAACTCACTGAGGGGATGTAGTCCATCGTGGCAGGAAATGGAGGAAGGGAGAAATAACTGCAATGGGTGTGAGATGGCTCCTTACCTTGCCTTTAGAGGAAGGGGAGAGAGGGGGGAGGGGAGAGGAGTAGGGGCCATACAGGAAGAAGAGGAGAGAGAGGGAGAGAGGGGGGGGGGAGAGAGAGAGAGCTCTTTCCGGAGTGGCTTCCTGCTTCTTCTTTCCTTTTTTTTTTTTTTTTTTTTTTTTTTAGTTTTTCGAGACAGGGTTTCTCTGTAGCTTTGGAGCCTGTCCTGGCACTA